TCAAACTTTGGTGTTCCATGTGTTGGTTGCACTTCAATATGTACTCGATACACAATGGACATATTGATAAAAATTATTACCAATGTATTTGTGAAGATTATTATTATAAGACAGTAACTATAAAAGACAAAAAGTTTGAGTTGGATTTTGATGATTCTAGAGGCACAATAAATTTTTACGCTTTAACTGAGTTGATGATTAAACATTCAAACATCATAGTTTTGGTATATTCTATTGATTCAAAAACATCATTTAATGAGATGTGTTCAATATTAAATCTGGTTCACAAAACACTTGGAGTTGACACACTTCGAACCATTCCAGCTGTCATCTGTGGTAATAAGAACGATCTGGAAAACAAAAGAGAAGTGAGTTATATTGAAGGACAAAAACTTGCTGAAAAAGAAGGTTGTCTTTTTTACGAAATCTCAGCATTAAAAAACACCAACTTAACTGAAATGTTCGAGAAAGTGGTGAGTTGCTATGTCAACACTAAATCAAATGAAACAGAACAGAAATATGAAATATGCAAATTGTGGTGATAAGAATTATTATTTTTATATTTAATTTTATAAATATTCATGGTTGTTATTATTTAAAAAGTGGCATTAAAATTTCATTAAAATATAAAATACAATATAATACAATTTATACAGAATATCTAACTTATAATTGGCAAGTGTTACTGTTTTAAATTATATTCCATTTGCATCTCTTCCCAAAGACTGAGTTTATCATTATGCAGTGACACTTCACAAAAACGGAGTCGGATTATTTTGGTGTTATAACACTCAATTTGTTCGACTTTTGTTTCACCACACAAATAAATTGTCAGATTTCTACACCTTTTAACTGTCATTTCGGCATTAAAAGTTTGAAGACTTTTAAGTTCAATATTTGTACATTCCGTAACACTAATTGAGTTACTCATTATATCTCCATTACTTCCATTGTTCATTTTAACAAGTTCCATCGAATTAAAAATCAGTTTGTTGTATCGTACATTTGAATTACATATTCTCCCTCTTTTGACTTTGATCCCAAATTGCTTTGGATCTGAGACGAACTCGACAAACGAATTGGCGATATTCAAACACTCCATATTCTCTTTCTTAAGTACTATAATACCCAATCGACAATTTTTTATTACTAAGTTGTCTGTAGTTACAGCAAATGGGTTATCATCTACATTTGTGCACCGCAATAAAGTGATTCGCTCACAATTAAGTACGTCCATAAACTGACTAAAGTCCGTCACACCAACAAACTTTTCACTTTGTAATACGTTGAATTTGGGCTCAAGTGGGATGCCAATTAACGGCTTCAATTTGTTTGACGTGAACACAACGTCTGAGTAAACTTTTATGGCATTTAAACGGTTTTTGGTTTCTTCATTGGTAGAAAAAAGCTCACAATTTGGCGAGATAATTATTTGTGCAGCACTAAGTGCTTTGAACTCTCCACACACTTTAACGTTCTTCGACTGACACACTTGAATTGACACAAATGGACTGTTTTCAAAATTTAAATCGCAATTTTGACACATAGAAATGATCAGTATTTTGCACACGGGGAGTTCAACAGACATCTTTAAATTTTTATAATTTCCGAGTGACAAACTTTCAACTGTTTTATCATCGAAAATGAATGTGTTACTATTATCATTATTATTATCGATACTCAACTTTTTCACGTGGATCACATTTTTGTTAATACTATATGAATGAACCGTCTCCAATTTATTAATAACAGTGTTCGGTAAAAACGCAACGCTTGAGTTTGTTATTGTGATATTATTATACTTCGTGTTGATTAAAACAACTTTCCTACAATTTAAAATATCAAGCGAACATCTCACATTCTTATTTTTCTTGTGATCTTCATTTAAACTTTTTCTTTGCAAAAATGTGAAATTTAAATTGTAACAGCTCTCAACTTTGTAGCGCTGTGGACTTACTGTATACATCACGATGTTCATTTTTGTGTTATTTATAAACCCGCAGTTCTCGCCATTGATATGAGGAAGAATGAATTCACACTGTTTACATCCATTTGCTTCAAAACTTTTTAATGATTTTAATTGAGAAAAATCAAATTCGTTTGAATTTCCTTTTTTGATGACAACACGTTCAACGTTTGGAAAAAGAAACTCTTTGACATTCTTTAAAAAATTAATTGAGTTATTGTTTTCATCGTTTTTATTATCGACAACCACATTCCAGTGTTGACTTAACTCAACTTCTTTGACATTGAATATAGGACGTTTTGAAGTTAAAGTACAGTCTTTACATTCAATTCTTTCGGGCAATATTTGTTCATTAGAACACACGTAGTCAATGTGCTGGGAAGATTTTGCATCAAATTTTACACAATCAATATTTTCTAAATTGAGATTTGATATATCAAAGACGGTAATAAATTCCGAACAGTATATTTTGATTTTTGAAGGCATCACTTGAGTAATGAAGTCATTCATTTTCTGTATATCGTCTTCCGTTGTTTGATCAAAAAGTGTTGATATCTTATATGAATTCATTGGAATTATATAGTCGATATTGTGTGATTTAATCAACGTATTACTTGCAGTGTATATCTTTCCCATATCTCTTAAGTCGTCTTTATCATTTATGTATTTCTTGGTGTACAAAAAGTAAATTTTAGTATCAAACCTCTTCTTAATATTATTAACAATATCTAAATTGTTATTTGAGTTATTTTTAGTTATAATTGAATTCGTTAGAACAAAAAGTTTTCGAGGGAATTTTAATGTAAAAAGAGTATAACTCGTTGCGTCACAGAACTTTGTATACAACTCGGGCAATAATTTGATGTTTATTGTGAGTTCTTGAAGATTTTGCAAGACTCGTACAAAGTCAAATATATTTAAATACATTTCGATCAATGTCCCAGAAAGTACTTTAAAGGATTGACCAAGTCTGTTTGAAAAAACTTCAGAATTGGTAATTACATAATTTCGTGCAAATTCTGATGTTACTATGTATTTGTATTTGATGGAATTTACATTCAAAGTTGTTGGGTGGAAGTGTTGATCATATTTGTAAATGTCGTCGGCATTCGAAAACCATGGGTTCACGTGGATTGAGTCTGTCACAGATAAACATTTCTTTGAGACTTGTATAAATGTGCGGACGTCATTAAATGTCTTCAAATGGAGAAATACATTCATCATATAAAACATTTCTAACTTCACCATGACGATAATTATAATTAGTTCTGATCTTTATTCAGTTATTTTTAATGATTGAGGATTGT